AGTATTAAAAGATTAATTGCTAAAATTTTTTGAAAAATCTTATCAAAACTCTTATCATATCATTCTCAAATATCCATATGAAAATTTTGCAAACTTTTTTCCTTTCTTTTCTTTTGATACTTTCAAATGAAACTCTGTAAAAATATTCAAATTAATTTGTTTTTTTTTTTTTTTTTGTCTTTCTCATTCTTCCTTTCTCTCTCTCTCTCTCTCTCTTTCTCTCTCTTTCTCCACCAAAAACTTATTCAGAATTCATAAACTTTTAATTTTCTTTTTTTTGAAAAGCAACAGGTGATAATAATAATAATAATGTTACAAGAATAATTTCCATATAAAAAAATAAAAAAAAAAAAAAAAGGATATTTGAATTAATTAATTTTATTCCATTTTTATTATAACAATATATGATCATTTTAATTGCATACTAAATTAAAAAAAAAATAGAACAAATATTAAAAATAATAATTTAATGAAAATTTTGCATTATATTTGCCTAAATTTCAGTTGATCGTTAATTATTTAAAAAAAAAAAAAAAAAAGAAAAATGATACAAACAATTAATAAAAATGAATGATAAAATTATTTCCAATTACTTTCTTATTCTGCTCAATTTCATTTTGTTTTTTTGCTTTTTTGCTTTTTTTTTTTTTCATTTTTCAAATTTTGTATAATAAATTTATTTTTACTTCACATTGTCACATATTTTTGTTGCAATTTTCTTTTTACAAATTATTCATATTGCTGCTTTCTTCACTTTTTTTCTTTTGATTCTTTTCTTTTTTTTTTTTATATTTATTTATTTCAAATTTGTTTATATTTTATGCTCAACAATATTTATTTGTATAAAAAATGTTCATTTATTTATGTTTTTCTGTTTATTTATTTATTTATTTTTTTTGTTTATTTGTTCGTTTGTTCGTTCTTCTCTCTGTTTCTTCTTCTCTCCCTCCCTCTCTCTCTCCCTCTCCCTCTCTCTCTCTTTTAAATTGTCATAGTTTTGATTTGCATGTATTATGTGCCTAATTAAAGATTAAAGTAATGTATTATGTGCCTAAAAGTTTAAAAATAAGAATGCACTGATGTGTAGTTGAAATAATAACATTTCTTCAATTAAAATTAAAATAAAACAATAGCAGAAGGAATGAATTCATTTAAATTATAAAATGAAAGGTAATTTTAACTTTTTTTTTGTTATGAATTATTGCTATTTGTGTGATAGTTCAATTATAGCATATTATTAATATTAATAATATATTAGTAAAATATATATATATAATATATTAATAAAATAAATATATAATATATTAATAAAATAAGGAACAGTTGTTAAAATTGTATTGCAAAAATATAATATATATATAAATAAACAAATATAATTAGTTGAGAAAAAAATAATTAGAAAAAGATTTTTTAAAAAATTAAAAAAATAATAATTTTGAAAAAATTAAAAAAAAAAAAAAAAAAAACCTGAAATTCATTCTTCATTAAAGAATAATAAAAGAAAGAAAAAAGTTAGAATTGATAAAAATGATTTTAAAAAAAATAAAAAAATAAAAAAGAGAAAGAAATAAAATTGAATTGATTATGGAAATAATAAAGTAAAGCAAGAAAATATACTAATTATCATTAATATATGATAAAGAATAATGGCAGAAATAAATATATAAATTAAACTTATTTAATTAATAATTAAAAAATGCGAAATAATTGCAAATGTTTTTTTGTAATTTCCTTCTTTCGTTCATTTTCTTTTTTTTTTCATTAAAATTTATTTTTAATCATTTCATTACAATAATTTGAAAATAAATTCATTAATTCATAAATTAATTTCGATTTATTTCTTCTTCTCTTATATCTATTCAAATTATCTTTTCTTATCAAATGTGTAAAAATTTCTTCAAATTATACAGTAACAATTTGATTATGTTCGATAGAGATAGTCATATTAAACTATCATCAAACTATTTCAATTATTTCTTTTGCTAAAATAAAACTTATCATTTTATAAAAGTTAAAGTTTGAAAATAGTAACAATTGTTGCTTGTAATTGGAAATAATTATTATGCATTTTTAGAATAATTATTACCTGTTAGAATAATTATCATCATTATTGTTTGTGACTAGAATAATTATTATCTTTTTTTTTTTCTTAATTTTTTGATTGAAATAAATAAAAATATGAAAAAGAAAATATGACCACAGGGGGATTAAAATTTTAAAAGATTTGATTTAATTAATTAAAGGATGATAATAATACAGGATATGTTCTTCACTTTTCGGATTAATATAACATAATTTGATAAAACGATAAAAACTGTAGTGCTTTGATGAAATTTAAAAAATAACATTTCATAGTTAACAATAGTTTTCTGATAATTTCAAACGATTGATAATGGTCAAAATGAAACAATCATTTTAATTGTTAAATACCTTAATAATAATTCATCAATTCTTTAAAAAAAAAAATAACCTTGCATAAATAATTTTACTGTTATTTTATTTTGATATTAAATTCTGCTTAATTTCTTAATTTAGTGCAAATTTAATCACGAATAACTTCTTTAGTTCTTTATTATGAATTTATTTTGTAAACAAGTTATTTTCAATTAGAAAAATTTATTTCAAATATTTTCCTATTATAATTACATGTTTAAATTTCAAGCTATTAAAATATTACTGATATTTCCAATTCAATTATTATTCTAATGATAAGAAAAAAAAAAAGAATTATTATTCTACTATGTGCAAGGTAACAACTAAGCGAAACCAATATTACAGAAATTTGAAATATGTTATAAAATTAGTTAGAGTAAAAGTAAAGTTAATTTAATTGATGCATTCAGGTAAATTATAGAGAATATTCACGATAATTTACGAAAAAAAAACCGGATAAGGATTGATATCCTGAATCAAAGCTGATAGTTCTCGAAATCCCGAATCTCAGCTAAAACTTGGTACCCTAAATCTTAACTAAAACATCTTAATATCTTTAATTCTAACTGAAACAACCCGATATAATGAATCTCGACTACAACATCTTAGTGTCTTGAATTTCATCTGGTTGATCTCGATATCCCGAATCACAGCTAAAACATTTCGATGTCCTAAATTTTTGTAACACAAGATCTCATTCATCATATTTTACACATAGTAATATTAGAAGTCGGAAACCTGAAGAAAATTAATAATACCATCAAATAATAAATGATTGAAATAAAAAAAAAAGAAAAAAAAAAAACAATTTCATATCAGAAAATATAAAAGTAAACAACAATAAAAGGATAGCAAATAATATTTTGAACAAAAATGTTATAATTTATTAATAATCAAATTTATTAAATTATTCAAAAATTACTAAATTTAATTTAATTTTTACCTTTTATTATTTGCAAAGTAAATATTTCATATCATTCAAATTGTTTGACTTTCTCTTTTTCTTTAAAAAAATAAAAAATAAAAAAGCAAAAAAAAAAAAATAAATAAATAACGAAAAAAAGAAAGGAGAAAACAGTTCATTCATTCATTCATTCATTTATTAATTCATTCATCGTTTCCTTAAAAAAAGAAAACTAATGGCCGTGACCGGAAATTGGTAAAAGACGAATCGTCCCGTTCTTAAATTTGAGTGAATTTAAAGTTTTAGGAGTATGTCTGAGAGTTCGACTGGATGAGTTGTTGTAATGCAATATTTTGAATTAATTGTTCATTGGGAGTTTTTTTCTTTAGTCTAATTTTTCTTTTTTAGTTCAAATTATGCGAAAATATTTTCTTTGTTATCTTTTTTCCGAAATAGCTGAAAATTTTTAACTGCCTGAAATACTTTTCCTTTTTTTTTTTTTTTTTTTTTTGGTTTAATTAGATTACATTTTACGTTATGGTTAAATTACGTTACGTTTTACGTTACAATTAGATTACGTTGCGTTTTATGTTATAGTTTGATTATGTTTTTAAGTTATACTTTAATTATGTTGCGTTTTAAGTTATAGTTTTATTACGTCACTTTTTTACATTGAAGTTAGATTACGTTGCGTTTTATTTTATACTTTAATTATGTCACATTTTAAGTTATAGTTCAGTTATGTTATGTTTCAAGTTATAGTTTAATTATGTTGCGTTTAAGTCATAGTCTTATTACGTCACGTTATGTTTATAGTTAAATTCAGTCATTCGGGAAATATGCTATTGTTTTATACCGGAAATATTTCAGGCGAAAATAAAATATATCATTGATTATGTCGTTTAACATAAAAGCATGAAAACATGCATGAAACACATAAAAGCATGAAAAAACTATGGGCATTGTGTTTGAAAACACAAGATTTTTTTTTCTTTAGAGCATAAAACTTTTTTTTTTTTGGAAATCTTTAGACGAAAGCGCAAATATTTTATTGTTATTGCTTTTTTGGCTTTTTAGTCGGAAATTAAAACTTGAAAGATTGCTATATTTTGATCCTGAAAAAATGTGGTGTGGAATTTGTGAGATTGTTATATTTTTTTTGATTTAAATTTCGTGTTTATTTATATATAAGATATATATATAAGAAAAGTTTTCATGTGTTTTTGTAATTTAACGTACAGTGGCAAATTAAGTTACAGAGGGTGCTAATTTACAATTAATTAAAGTTTCGACTTTGTACTTGATAAGTTTTCCATTTTTATTCCCAGCTTGAATATTAAAACTTACTGTCAAATGTTAAAGTTAGAATTATTATAAGCAAAAGCTATTTTTTTTTTAAATAATTTAAACGTGCTGTTTTCTTTCCCTTTTTTTTTTCTTGCTGTTGTAAAAAATAGTATATTGGTTAGCTAATTGATATATTCTTTTTAGTTACTGGTAATAATTGAACAATAATACGGAATTTATTTGTTATTGTCATCATTTTCCGCATTGTTCTTCATTTTATTACTGTTTGTTTTCAAGATTTCACTCTTTATTATGATTATTACTTTCCGTTAATCATTGTTATTTTGCATTTCAGGTCCATTTTACCAAAATAAAGATGGGGAATGAATCGTTTCTATCAAGTATTTTTTCACGTCAACGAATCGTCACTGCAGCTGGTATTGCTGCTGCTGCATTTGTTGGTTACTGCATTTATTTCGACCATAAAAGACGTTCGGCACCTGATTACAAGCAGAAAATACGTGAACGTAAGTAAATATTAATTTTAAAAGATTTCCTTTAAATGTGGAAAAGAAATTTTCCATTTTACAGCAGCGCAATTATTGAAATATAAAAAAAAAAAATCATTTTAGCTAAGTTAGATTTTGGAATCATAATGTGATGATTTTATTCTTTGTTCACCACATTTGTTTCGATAATCTTACAATTTTTGTTCTTTGATTTAATTGTCTAATATTTATTTGTAAAATGCATTAAATATTGCACCACTGAATGTTTGTAATTTATCATGTTGTATCAAGCATAAATCGATATTGTTACACCTGAATTATGTCCAAATTTCATTGAAAATTTTTTTTTTAAAGTTATTGTAAACAAATGAATTACTTTTTAACAAATATATGCTTCAGAACGCCGCGCTACGGAAAAGAAGAAGCAACCGACAATTTTCCCGAATCCACATAATGCCACTGAAATGCAAGCGTTTTTCCTGCAAGAAGTGCAATTAGGCGAAGAACTTGTAGCAGATGGTACATTTCTTTCTTTTCAAATTTGACAATAGCAGAAGTGCACAAATAAGTTATTTTATCATCGTTGATATTACAGAATACAGAATACCTATCATCTCTATTATTTCTTTTTATATCGTTCAAATCTTTCATCAGTAGATTCTATTAACAGCACAAGATTTATCTATTTGAGTTCCTATATTTATCATAATTTTAATTATGTATCAGTTGTAGTCTATATGTTTTAGAGATTTGAAATGTGGGAAAATGATTTTTCTGGAAATAATTTTATCTATGCAATTTTTTTTAATGCATTTTTTTAGAGTAATGCATTTCCTAATCAGAAAAGCTTCCCAGTAGATAAGACTTATTTAAAAATGATGGATGGGAATTGGATTTTTATTACTAATTGAATTAAATTTTTATTATAGGTAACTGTTTCATATTTAATATATTTATCTTTTATTTTATTCTATTTTTTTCAATTTAAGGACACACTGAAGAGGGTATTGAACATCTCTGTAATGCAATCACTCTCTGTGGTCAGCCGGCACAACTGATACAAATTTTCCAACAAACATTGCCAAGCGAACATTTTGATCTTTTGATCCAGAAGTTGCCGGAAACTAAAACTGTGAGATTTAATTATTTTTCTATTTCAATTACTAGGCTTTCAAATTCATTCTTTCAGCATCTTTTCATTATTTTTTTAAATTTTAAGACGACAGTTATATATGATATATGTCTTTAAAAGGTTGTTTCGACTACAGTTCTTCCTTATCTTTCTTATATAGACTTGAAACCAATAATATCAGTCTTCAATCAGTATCAGGAGAGGATGAGAGACTTCAAAAAAGTCTGTCTCTTTAGTAGTACTAGTAATACTTATTTAAAAATAATAAATACTTACGTTTTTATAGTTAGTAATACCTACTTAAATAAATAATCGTTAGAATAGCCGTTATGGAAAGTTAATGGTCGAATAAAGTGAGCAATTTCAGGACTATAATCCAAGAAGATAAGGTAGAAGTACGATAGTTACAAAATAAATCGCTTTTATCTACTTTTCAAATTTATTAACTTTTAAAACATATGCAGCGTCTTATGCGGATGTTCGGTGATCGTGTGGGGCAAGTTGAACGTTCACATGCTGGAGCGGAAGATGGTGAAGGCCCACTAGCTGTTGCAGCACCGAATACTATTGAAATCAGTGATGATCTCGAACTTGAATAGTTTATGATTGATCATACTTCTTTAATTTCTAGAATTCTTCTTTTCTTTTTGTAGGTGGATAAGATAGATAAGGTAATTTAAAGCTTATTTATAATTTAAAGCTATTTATAAGTTATTTTGTATGAAATGATAGCCGTAAGTTAAAAGTCATGAAATTTAAATATTCATAATTGATCGAATTAGTGCTCTGAAATAATACAAGCTTAGCTGATAATGATACAGAATTCATGCAGTCATGTTCAAGACTAACTTCATCTTTTAGTTAGTTCCTTTGAACCATTTTGCAAATATTAATCTTCTTTATCGAATGTGACTTGTACTTTCATGCAGTTTGTCTATGTCTAACTTTTCTCGTCCATACAGTGCCTATAAAATTAATCTTCATTTTGTAGGGTTGGTATTATGGATCGCTTAACACTGGTACTATAATTATATGTGTTGAGAAATTATGATGGAATTTTATTTTTCTTTTTTTTTTTGAATGATTTTTGTTATTGTTGCTGTTGCTGTTGCTGTTTTTCTGCGAAAAGAAAACGAAGTATACTTCGAAATATGTTCCTCGATGCGGTGTTACTGTCAAAATACTTCACTATTTTTTATCTGGTGGTTAATTAATGACTGGTCGAATTTCGTACTATTTACCTAGGAATATTGCAAGATATCAAATGTTGCAATCTATTTTCCGATTGAAATGAGGACACAGCATGTTGTCTTTTTCATTTGATCACAACAAATTATTACAATAGAAATATGGTAGTTGATCACTAGAAAGGGCAAGTTGCAGGAAAGAGGAAACAAGATAGAAAGTATGTTTCAAACAAAGTAGAAAATATGTAGAAAGTTTGAGTATGTTTCAAAAATTCTAGTAAAGCTATACTTGAGGACAATTCTCGTACATCTCAAAGTATTAATGAGAGTTCTGTATTTCTAATACTTTTTATATTACATTAAATTTATTTATTATTGGAGGTGCTGTGTGTTGAAGTGGTCCTAAGATTTCGGAATATTTCACATTGTATTTAATCGTGTTTTGGTTTTCCAACTCGATTTTTCACTCATCTCTGATAAAATGATGAATACAATATGCAACACATAGATATTACTTTTATTTTTTAATTGTATTTAAAGTTTGAGTGGTCGAAATTGTGCTACACTATTACAACAGTCATCTATTTTTTTTTTTTTTTTTTTGCAATGATTTTTTTATTTGTCAGCTTTTCAACATGACTTTCTTAATTTTAAATTCCTTTACCGATTTTACAATTTGAATATATGCAAATTCTCTTCGATAGCATTTGACATATAATATTTCATTTCTTTTTCTTACTTCACTTCTAATATTTCAATTATTTTTTTGTTTCAAATTTTATTGCATGATTAGATGCATTATGAGAGAGTTGCATGAAAAGCGGTTTTTATCTCTTGAAAGTTGTGCACTGTTAGTAGTTTTAAATTCGAAATTTTCTTTTATTTTATTTTAATATGAAGATATTTTTAAGTTCGATATTTTGCAGTAATAAATTTATGCAAACTCACCTAAAAAGGAAGCATAGAATTTTTACTGAATGATATCATCAAAATGTTAATCTAACATTAAAGCATATATCGGTTAGATCATAAATGATTCATTTTTTGTTCGAATTAATGAGTATATTATGGATAAAATGATTGCATAGAATTTATAATAATAAAATATCTATCTAAAAAATTAATGTAATATCAATGAGAGGTAATTAACGTAATGGAAATGGTCGTCGAAGAAAAAAAGAGTAAAATAAGTAAAAAGAAAGGAAAAGTGAATCAAATGAATGAATGATTAATTATTGGATTAAAAAATAAGTATTCAAATATATAATTTCGTTCTTTTTTTTTCTTTTTTTATGATGATGCAAATCTTTTTTTTTTTTTTCTTTTCTTTTTTATTTGTAGATACAATCATTTTGTAAAAATATTCCAATTTCTATTCGTTCGCTACATCGAAATTCAATGTCACTTTAAGAGATGGGACAAAAAGATGATGGATAGTAGGAAGGAAGAAGGGGACAATTTTAGTGTTTATTGCAAAAGTTAGGAAGTGGACTGGTTGTGAATGTGTTGAGTAGTGTTAGTTGTATCGTTTACTGGTCGCGGTCGATGTCCTCGTATGGTCATGACCGCCGATGTCATCCTTGTCATCATTAATCTGTCATAGTAATAATTATAATTATAGTAATAGAAACTCTAATTACTTATTAAAACTTTCGTCATAATTTATTAATATTCAAAAAAAAAAAAAGAATTTTTTATATTTCTATATGTTAATAATCATTATGATAACTAAAGGCAAATAAAAAGTAATTAAATAATGAAATAATTGAATGATTAATTTTTAGAAAAAGCATATGACATTTTAATTAGCGTAAATGGTCAATGAATTTCAAAAGTATTATTATTTTGGATGTTACTTATCATTACTATTTCGTTATCATTATTATTATTATTATTATAATTACTATTATTGTTATTGTTACTGTTAATGTAACGGATTTTGCACTGAATACCAATAATTCTATGGATAATATTATTGCACCACCAGCAATACTACCACCACCATCAGCGCCACATCACCGCCACGACTACCACAACCACCCACAACTATGCCCTCTTTACGATTCATTCTCTCTCTCCCTCTCCCTCTCTCTCTCCTTTCCCTATTCTTACAAATAAATTAGTTCAGCGGTTTTGTTGGAAGAGATGAGAGGATGTATGTATTTCAACCCGCAACAGTTTTCGAAATTGTTATGTCCAGCGTCACTTATTCATTACTCTCAACCACTACTACTACTACAATTACTATTACTAATTATTGCTACTGCTATTACAGCTATTACTGTTGCTAATATCACACAATCATTAACTATGAAGGATAAATGGCGCTTTTGTCTGTGCAGATTGACCTGTCGCAATTGTCATTTAAATCCGATGAATGTACAATTATTTTATATATAGTTTAAATTGTATATATATATAGGCATACATACATACATATACATATAGTGTATGTGTATGTATGTGAAGCATCGTAATAGATGTATGTATGTATGTGTATGACAAATGGGTGATGGCCTCTTTCTACATCTATCATCACAGCTGACAGTAGTACTGCCGTTTACTTCGACTATAACTATCATAAAATACTCCAATTTATGTGATTTGTTTTCAAGTTGATTTTAAAATTCTTTGAAATGTTTATCTCATGTATATATGTGAGATAAACATTTCATTCATGAAATTTAATACTGTCACTTATACTACAACTGTTACTATTTAGTACTAGTAATACTATTATTATTAGAATTAGTAATAGAAGTAAGAGTAGTAGTAGTGGTAGTAGTAATAGTAGTAATAAGAAGTGTGGTATTAAGAGTACTTCAAGAAATTAGAAATAATAATTTAATATTGGGAATTGTACACCTATTTCCTATCTTGTTTTAACTTTTTATTATTTAAGAATTACTACTACTACTAATAATAATAGTAAAGTGGAAGACAATTTTCATTCATATAAGAAAAAAAAAGCTATATGATAAGATTAATTATGATTTTTAATAAGAAATAAATATTTCATATAGTGATTTTTTGTTGATAGGGATAATAATAATAATGATTTAAAAATTGGAGATTTTATCAACGATAGCATTTAATATTGAGGGGCAAATAACTGATAGTTATTAGCAAAGTTAATGATTTCATTTTTTAATGTTGTAAATATAATTTATCACCATAATCAATCAATAATGATGAATAATCATACTACAGGCCTTTCTTCACCTTCAAATATTCACTATTTTTTGTTTTTTCTTCAACTAAAACAAAAAAAAAAAAGTGGAATTGATACAAACGGAATCGATAAAGACATTATCACAAAATACTTTACTGCTATTATTATTATTATTATTATACAGTAAATAATATAGTACTGTAATTACTCCTCTAACTGTTACTGTAAACAATACAGTACCATAAATGTTACTTTAATTATTACCGTAAAAATATTGATAAGTAGTTACTGTTATTGCTGACATTACAAAATTGTTACTATTATTATCGATATCACAAATTATTTTGCTTTTATCACTAATACCGTGTAATGCTAATATCATACCTCAAAGTGATTGCTATTAATGCTAATATGATAAAAATGATATGATAAAAGCTAGGATTACTTCTGATACTGCAAATGAGCATCCTAAAAGATTATCATTTAAAATAGTTATCATTACTATAAAAACAAATACCTTGCTATTAGTATAAATGAATACCTTAATACCTTGTTGACACTATAAACATCTTAATACCTTGCTGATACTATAAATCAATATCTTAATACATTGTTGACATTGTCAATAAATATACTAATCCTTGCTGATACTATAAGTGAATATCTTAATACCTTTCTGATTCTATAAACAAATACTTCAAATAAATAGCATTTTATCACTAACACGTCTATTATTATTGCTTAAAATTGTTCATGTTAACATACTTCCCCAATTTTGAAATGAATTTAGATAGAATAGTTGTCAAATTTATTATTTATTTATTTATTGTCTTTATTATTTTCATTAATTAAGTACTGCTTATTATTGTTATTATTATCATTATTATTACTACTATTATTATCACTTGTCATTGCTATTATTTTCACTATTATTATTATTTCATATACTGAAGTAATATTAGTTTTACCTGAATGGGGTCATGTCACATGAATCAATGCACTGCTTTAACATGTTTCCTTTCAATTAAATTCAATTTATTTAAATTTAAAATTTTCTCTTTTAGAATTTTACATAATTAACATCCATACTTCTTTATCTTCACAATTACTATATTTCATTTTTTTTTTAACTTTATAAAAAGTTAAATATTGTTATTCATATATTTTACTAATCTTTCTTTTTTCATACCCATCTATTTTCCTTGATCCGATTATCATTATCCTGCATTTTCCATATGGA